CCCCCCTTCCGAGGCAGCGACACCGCGATTCCGGATGTGCTGACGAGCGACGTGAGCATTGAATGTTGTTCCCTTTTAAACGGGGAAACGTAAAGCCTGAAGAGCCGCGGTGGTTTTGTTCGGAGACGGGAGAGGTGCCCGCGTCCCTTCGAAGGCGCTTTGGGAGCGGGATCACCCGAGAAACGGCCGTCCCCAGAGCGGAGGCGAGCGTGCGGCTCTTCACGAGCACCCAAAAGACATCTTAATACCTGGAGAGGGCTTCCGCGCGTCTCCGAGGACCCTTCTCGCCTCCTGCGCCAGCGTGGGACCCCCCGCGTCGATATTTTGGGAAGTTTCCCTCCCCGACGGCTGCTCCGCGTCCTGGGAATCGCCGCTGTCTTCGCTCAAATCTGGATTTTCCAGCAGGAAACGAGCGTGAACCCTGGGAGGACGCTTACCCTTTGCGCGGCCCGCAGGTCCTTAAGGTTATTAAATCTGTGGGTTTGGGGCTGCGGCGGAGCCGGGACGAGGGGAAAGGGAAGTTTTTAGGCGTGTTCTGCTTTTTACCCGCCGCTTGGCACGTGAAAACACGAGGGGCTGAATTCCCCTGGCGCTGGGACGAGGGTGGACGCGAGAGCTGCTGCGGTCTGGGACGGGATCGTTCCTTTCAGCCCCGGGTTTGTGGGAAGCGCTCGGCTCCGGCGTGTTTACCGACAGCGCAGGGGGAAAACGAAAAATAAACACCCGCAACCACTAATTGCCGGAACGAATGGGGATGAAACGCCAGCCGGCCCCCAACGGGAAGGGAGGGTTGGCGGCTCGGCTCGTCTGCCCCGCGCTCGTTAGGCTTCGTCCCGAGCGCGAAGAGCAGCTGGGAAGTGTCTGCAGTCACCTCTTAAAATCCGTTTAATTCTTGAGAAGTGTGCCTTGCTGAGGACGTCGAGGAGGAGGAACCCCCGCGGATGAACGCCGGAGGAGCTGTGATACCGCCTGACCTTAAAAACGCAGCGTTGTCGCGCTGCGCCCGTAGAGGACGCGCGCCAGCCTTGCCGCTGCCCCGGATTTCTGCAGATTGACCCCGGGGTGCCCCGTCTCTCCATCCCGCGTCCTCCTCCCGCCACGCCGCT